AGATGCTGCCCTAGATGTGTTCACCAAGTTGTGCCAAGAAATCTGGAGGACAACCACTTGGCCAACTGACTGGAAGAGATCGATATTTGTTCCCATTCCAAAGAAAGGTGATCCAACAGAGCGTGGAAATTATCAAACAGTATCATTGATACCACATGCAAGCTAGATTCTGCTAAAGATTATCGAAAAACGACTGGAGCAGCACATCAACACAGAACTGTCTGATATGCAGCCTGGATTTAGGAGAGGTCGTGGTACTAGGGATATTATAGCTAATGTCATATGGATCCTGACTGAAAACAGAGTACCAGAGGAATAGCTGTGTTTCATTGACTATGCAAAGGTATTTGATTGTGTGGATCACAACAAATGGTGGCTGACTTTGAGAAGAATGGGAATCCCAGAACACTTAATTGTGCTTCTGTGAAACCTATACTTGTACAAGGAGACAGTGGTCAGAACAGAGCAAGGAAACATTGCATGTTCAAAATTGGTAAGGGTGTGTGCACCAAGAATGTATCCTATCTCCTTATCTTTTCAATCTATATGCAAAACAGAGTATCCAGGAGGCTGGGCTCTATGAGGAAGAATGTGGCATCAGGATTGGAGGAAGAATCATCAACAATCTGCATTATGCAGATGAGACAACCCTGCCTGCTGAAAGTGATGGGAGATATGAAGCGCTTGCTGCAGAGGGTCGAGGACTGAAGCCTTCACTATGGATTGAAGTTCATTATCAAGAAAACAAAGATTCTCACCACTGGACTGATTGGCAGCATCATGATAGATGGTAAAGAGATTGAGACTGTTAACAGCTTTAGTTTGTTTGGCTCTACAGTCAACACTCTTGGTACCAGCAGCCAGGAAATTAAAAGACAAATTGCACTGGGAAAGTCTGCTGTCAGAGACCTCTCCAAAGTACTGAAGAGCAACGATGTCATTCTGGAGACTAAGGTGCACCTGATACAGGCCATGGTTTTTGCAATCACTTGCTATATACATCAGAAAGCTGGACAGTGACTAGGGATGATAGAAAGAGAACTGATGCCTTTGAGCTGTGCTGCTCGAGAAGAGTATTGAATATACCACGGACTGCTAGGAGAACAAACAGGTTCATCCTGGAGAGGATAAAGTCAGGCAGCTCCTTGGAGGCAAAGATTCTGAAGCTTCGTCTTACATACTTTAGGCATGTTGCAAGGAGGGACCAGTCCTTGGAGAAGGATGTCATGCGTGGGAGGGTAGAAGGACAATACAGGAAAGGAAGATCCTCTATGAGGTGCATTGATTCAGTGACTGGGGTAATGGGGTAGGTGTGTTAGAGACTATAAGATTCGAACGGGATAGAGCAGAGATTAGGGCTTGTTGTACGTAGGGTTGCTATGAGTCGCAGGTAACTCGACGGCACATAACAACCCTCACATACTTAAGGTATGTGTCTAGGAGGGCCTATTCCTTGGGGAGGGACATGATGCTCAGAAAGACAGAGAGTTGGTGAAGGAAAGGAAGACCCTCAACAAGGTGGACTGACACGGTGACTGTTGCTCTAGTGCATCAGGAGTACGAAGATGGCACAGGATAGGACAGGGTTCAAATCTGTTGTTCATAGGGGCAACATGTGTTGTACTTGACTCAACTGAACATAACAACTGTCACCACCACCACCACCTTTAAGTTTGCAGTGCAACTCTCTATCCATAATAATGTTATTTTTTTAAAAAGAAATAATCTATTATTTTAGCACACAGTAGTTTCATAAATTACAGTACTAAAACATTAACATTGTATATCCTTATTACAATAATAAAATTGAACCATCAAAGGAGAATCAGAATTTAAAAGTAAAAGTGAATCTGAAAGTTACATTATCTGGTTATCTAAACAGCAATTTCATCTAATATCATAGTCTTATTAGAATTAGTAATGTCTTAAAAGTTCTTTTCTTTCCCCTTCTTCTCCCCTAATAAATTATATAAATGAAATAGCTTAAAGTTTTGAGATGGGAGAGGGTAAAGACAGTGATGTGAATAAGCCATACTATCAATCTCAAGAAAAGAAGTCATTCTTTTTAACCAAAACAAAAAAGTAAAAAACCGGGAGAGCAAGAGGTCAAATATATAAGCATCAATGTCTTAGTCCTACTTCTAAGTTAAAATGTATTTGCATATTTCTCACTCTACAATATTTCTCAATGCTTAAAAGGATCATCTCTTCTATTACTTTGATCAGAATGCTTCCTCTCACTCCAAAGAAACAAAAAAGTACAGACTGTAAAAGCGACAAATCATCCAATTCTAATACTAAATTCTGTACATGGAAAGAAACTAAGTCCAAGAGGTTAAGAGACTTGAAAAAGACTGTACAGCTCATTAAGGTACAGATGAAAAATACTTAAAATATCACCCCAATGTAGCAGTAAAATTGTCATTATAAGAGTTCATTTATTGTATGTTAATTTTTAAACATAGATTTCCCTCTTTTTAAAAACAGATTTAACCTGCTAAATTTCCTAATCCATTGGTCAGAAAAACCAATCTTTTTCAATTATTTCAGTACTTGTAATTTTTTGTTGTTTTGCTGAATAAATACAATTACCTGTATCATCATGGTAGTTTACAGCTTCTGTCTCCATCCAGGCATTATCAGTGTTTCGAGGATCATCAACATATCCTTTATATATCTATTTTTTAAAGAAAGCAGAGGAAAAAAGTCTAGAATGAAACAGGAGCATGCAGAGCAAACACATGTTACTTTCATCAGAATCAGAAACAACTATCATAAAATCTTTCATGTACTTCGTATATATAATTCCTGAGGAAGAATGTTCTCAAGAACTTTCGGAGGTAACTGAGAAACCACACAAAACCTTCAACACCTCTGAATTTAAACTCTTAACCTGTGATCAGTCACACTCTGGGCATATAGTTTTTTCAAGGGATCTATAAATTAAGTAATATTTCTTTTAATAATTGCTGTGATTATCATTTCTGGGGGGTAAGGGGTTGAGCTGCCAAACCAAAGGCATGTGGGTCAAACCCACCAGCTGTCCCATAGGAGAAAGATGGGCAATTTGTCTGCCTCTGAAAACCCACTGAAGGTCAAGTCAGTTGGTTCTGACTCAATGGTACCTAACAACAACATGTGAAAATATTTTAATCTAGCTATCTCACATATAATGTAACAACAACAAAACCCACCCTCCCCCCAAAAAAATCAAAAAACAAACCAAACAAACAGAAAACACAAAATAAAGAAGTCCCATTTCCATAAAGGTAACAAGGTAATCCAAATAAAAGTCAGCACCCATCAAACAAGGGGTGGCGGGAAAGGTAGTTGGGGAAATCCTGTCTTTCTCCTTTGGCATGGTGACGGTGGTGCTGTTGAGTCAGTTCTGAACAGAATGAAACCCTGCCTTGTCTGACAGCATCCTCAAACTCTTTATTATGCTTGGGCCCCTGTTGTAGCCAGTGTGTCAATGCATTTTGTTGATGCTCTTCCTCTTTTGTGCTGACCTTCTTACTTTACCAAGCATGATGATGTCCTTCCTTCTCCAGTGACTGGTCTCTCCTGACAATACATCTAAAGTAAATTAGACATAGTTTACCCCTCTAGCTTCTAAGGAGAATTCTGCTATACTTCTTCTAAAGAAGAGGCCTTCCTTTTCCAGGAATGTCATGGTATATTCAATATTCTTTGTCAACAGCTTATGATTAGTGCATACATCTTTTGTTGTTGTTTTTAAGGGCCGTCAAGTCGTAGGCGACTCATAGTGACAATATGAATGAAAGTCCTCGACACTTGCGTGCGTGACTTTCATCCTTTCTCCAGGATCATAGGGCTTCCAGAAGCAAGCTTTTTATGGAAGTGGATGCCACTCCTGCTTCCAGGCTTGTTTTAACCAGGGAGCCCCACTAAACACTGTCCACAATGGTTAACCATTATTGCATTTGACACATCGGTGTCGCACTGTTCACCTTCACAGTGACCACAAGTTACCCCTGTACGGCAAGTGGACACACCAGGGCTATACGACCTAGAAGAATGTTTGAACAAAAACAATGAAAGACAGGCCTGGGGGCCGCAGATTAAAGTCACCCACCTTTGGCTTGGTAAAACGATGTTGTTGTTGTTGTTATGTGCCGTCGAGTCGCCTGCGACTCATAGCGACCCTATGTACAACAGCCCTAAACTCCGCTCTGTCCTGTGCCAATC